CAGGCCGTCTTTAGACTTTTTTAAAATGACACGGGTGAGATTTTACTTTCCTCAGTTAGTGTGTGTGAAGGGAACAGCTGCAGACATGTAATTTTTTGATAAATCAAACTAATTTGTAGTTGTCTTTAATACTGATCTGTACTAACTTCCCCAGTTCAGTGGGAAATTACAGGAAAAATACTAGTAAAATATTGAACTACGTTCTGTGGAATACTCACTGAGCTAGCAGGTTTGCTTCCACTTCACTTAGCTGAAAGTCTGTTTGACAGCATTGGTCCTTCTACCCTTGTGAGACAGTTTACTTAATAGCTTAGAGGACGTTCTCTTTTAGAAATATGACTTGATAAAGCTGTAGGGCAGGTAGTCAGGTGTCAAGCTGCAGAGGATGATGTATTCATTGGCAAGTTTGGTAACGAGCTGAGTTCTAGGTATGACTAGACAATGTTCCAGGTTTTGTTTAAGATGCACATTTCTTACTTAAGTAAGACCAAATTAGCTGCGTTAATCACTGCTGAGATTGGGGTTGCTGTATTCCGGAAATACTAGTGGATTTACTTTTCAATTGTATGTGTGGTCTAAAACGGATTTCTTCACTTAAACTAAGTATAAAATTTAGAAGTTGCTCTTCTCAAGGCTAGATTAGCTGCTTGCATTCTTCAAGCTCTAGAGACCCTTTCATGTGTTATATTATATTGTCCATATGTTATACTTAAGAAAGAATCAACTGGAAAGGACCTGATAGTAATTTCTTACTGTTTCAGTATAATCTTTCCACACTGTGTATTAAATGAAGGGAAGAAAATATAGTTAGGAAATGTCCCCATTGAAGTTCAGCTCATTTAAAAGATTATACATCTGTTTTAAAACTAGGAAAGGGCTGAAAATGCTTGAAGTAAAATTTGAATCAAGTTTTCTATCAATGATATGTTCTAGAATGGTGGTTTATTAACCTATTACATTGATAAAAGTGTAACATTTCTTCATAACCTGTGTTCTCCTTGTACCCCAAGTCCTAGCAAACGTCTATACTTTGGAACTTATATTGTGGTCCTAAACATTTATCTCTAAGCTTAAAAAAAAAAAAAAAAAAAAAAAGGCTCTGAGGTGACCTAATAGCAGCCTTTCAGTATCTAAAGGGGAACTACAGGAAAGAAGGGGACAGGCTTTTTATCAGGATCTGTGGTGATAGGATGAGGGGAAATGGTTTCAAGCTTAAAAGGGGGTAGATTTGGGTTGGATATAAGGAAAATGTCTTTTACATTGAGGGTGGTGAGGCACTGGTGCAGGTTGCCCAGAGATGTGGATGCCCCATCCTCAGAGACTTTTGTGGTGAAGCTGTGCTGGGCCCTAGGCAACCTGATCTTGCATGCCCCTGTTCACTGCAGAAGAATTGGAGTAGGTGGCCTTTAAAGGCCCCTTCCAACTGTAAGGATTATGTGATTCTACGAAAAATCCTTGAATTCGTAAATTAAAAATTTTCAAACATTGCTTCAAGAACAGATCAGTGAATATTTTTCGCATGCTATGATACAGTTGATGTTCCAGGGGAAAGACTCCTGCTTAATGTAGCAGTGCTATTCTGAAGTCACATCTGTGCGAAGAGCAGAATTTGGGTCCACAGCTGTTTCTCCTGGTACACTTTTAGTTCTGAGAGCAAAATTGCTAAGGTTTTAGTTCTCTCAAATAGTATTTATCAAAACGAAAGGATTTATTTGCTTTAACTGGCAAAGAGACTGTTAGTGATGCTTCAGTCCCTACTGACTTGCAAAACATAAGTGATAGAAAATTAGTCCAAATACAGTTCACAGGTTGTTGATGTGTTTGTTCACCCATCACAAGTTTCTAGACCTGTTTATGCTTTTCTTTCTACCATTGCCTCTTTAACATTCAGTTCTGTGTTTTTAAATAAAAGAAGAAAAAAAATCAGGCAACTCTTAGCATTAGAAGCAGCTTCTCTTTGTGTTCCTGGGTAATTTCGTCCAAACACCTCTGCACTTCACTATCTCCTCTGTTTTTGTTTCTTAGAAAAGACTGTGATGTCTTAATTTCTCATGGGGAAAAAACCCTCAGTAAAACGAGTAATTCATGTATGCAGAAGTAGATTAAAATATGAGCAGACAGGCTCCTGAATGGTGTTGTGTGGGTCTTGGTGCCAACTTCTGGAATGATCTTCTGGATTTAAAGCTGAAATAAAAACTTGTGCAATTTCAGGCTTGCTAGAACATGAAGACAGCTGTAAAAACAAGTGGAGAAGACTGTAGTAAATGATAACAAAATGTGATAGCTGTTTTCAGTCCCTGAGGACTCTAAATGACTTTGCATTCATTCAGTATCCTGCCATAGCAGTTATATGGTTGTAGAAGTTCAATGCTGAATCTATTCCTGTTCAGCATTTGTTCACAATAGTCTACATGAGGAACTGGCTCCTTTTGGTCCATTCTTTCTCCAGCAGGAATCTGATCATCCTGGTATTTCCAGATGTCTGGACAAGGTAAAAAGGAGCTACTTTTGAATCTCACTTTTGTGCTGCTAATAGCTTCTTACCATGAAGAAGAAGTTAAGATGGTACTTGGATTGGTAGCTGCAGCTGGAAAGTAGAAACTTTTTTTTACTGAGGATATCTTCCATCCCCAGGAAACTGTTAAGCCCTTAAATGTTCAGCTTCATGTAGATATGCATCAGTTGATCCTTTTAGCAATAACAGAAAGAGGTGTGACAAAGAACAGTCAAGATTTTTTTCTGTGTATAAACAAGTTTTCTTGTGATAGTGACATTTTATTCTGTTTCAGATCAAACAACGCGCTGTAATTTGAAGCCTTTCTGGTGTTCAGCATTCCCGTAACCTCTTTTCCCAATTCATAGGCATGAAGTTGAAAAAAAAAAAAAAAAAAAAAAAAGTAAATATACTGCTTAAAGCCTTTCTAATGTGTTGTCTGAAGTGGTCTTCAGTTTGTGTTAATTGTTACTTGGATAGAAACAGCTGCTTTGCATTAAGGACTAGTTTCAGCAGTTCAGTTAGGTGGCATCTGATTCATTAGCACTGGATACTGATTAAATAGTAAAGGGTTAAGTTGCAATGTGTTCATGTATGGTAAAATGTTGATGTTTTGATTTTGTTAGTTTTCTGGCAATATCTTCAGGCTCAAATTGGAGCTACTTCTTTTAAGTAACTGTGTTGAAATAACAGCTGCTGGCAAACGTGAGTGAAGATGGTTTTAAAATCCTCTAAGGTCTAGAGTTACTTAGAAGCAAGCTTCATTCTTAAAAGATTTCAGACACATAGGCCACTCCTTACATGCATGAATTAATCCAGGCCCTGCAAGCTAGGAGTACGAAGATGCTTATGCTCCTGCTGTTAAGAAATTGTATGTGCTTTTTTTTTTTTTTTTTTTTTTAGTAGCAGTTGGGAATGTTTGTTCTGCTTGAAGACTGTTTTTAGATAAATTGCATCTATACTTTTTCACTGCCCTTCTACAGCTCCTTGTGCAGGGAGCAGTATTGTTTTGGAAGGGCTTGGGAAGATTAGAATAGATGGAACTTAATGTTTTTCTTTTTCTTGGAATACATGATTCTGAATCTGCAAAACTCCTGGATAAATTTTTATTCTTAAAGGTTGAATTGTATCTATTTTGTGCTTATTCACGTCAGTGCTTCACTCTATAGTGATGTAGTGGCTTTGTGGACCTACAAAACAAGGAGGACTCATAGAAGGTAGTAGAGAAGTCATAAAGATGTGTCCACTGTAGCAACAACGGAACAAGACCAGTATCACTTGAAGACCAGAATTATGAGGCTGAGCAGAAAGACTGGTTCATAGTGATTTCTGTATCAACTTAAAACTGTGCGTATAGTATGGGCAAATGGTTGGGGTGGATAACTTTCCTTGAAGGGGAGTGATGAGGAGATAATATTTATTTTAAAAAAGGACAAAATGTATCAGGAGTGCTGCGACTGAATGTAGACCATAGGAGGTAACCACTACTTTTTCTGCAGCGTGTTTTTGAATTCTTAATATTTCTTGTGGAAGCATTTCATCTGCCTCCTTGAGTTGAACTTTTTGTGGGCTGTTTTAAAGAAGTCATTGTGAATAAGCACAAGAGTGAAGTGTAGTACTAAATATTTTACTTGTAATTCTGGTTAAGATACTTCTGGTTGTTACTGAGTAATTCCAGTTAGTTTGGTTTTCCGTTGCTCTTTAATGTCATCCTAATGATCAGTAAATGAACAAGTAGATAAATTATCCATGTTCTGACCCTTTGCTAAATTGAAAAAGCAAAAGTAAAATCTGAAACTTTCTCTTTAATTCTTTTAATTTTTGTCATCTAGACAATTTTCAGGTATGCACTGTTGCCATGTTTACTCTGGACTTGCTCAGTTCACTTTGTCATAGCATAATCTCTGTAGTCAGACTGCACAAGTAGCTACAAGTAGAATTCAAGTGTACACATGGAAAATACAGTATCTTATTCATGAATGTGTTGTCACAACAGCTAGCAGGTTATCCATTAAGTCAAGCCTGTATCAGCTCAAGTAGGTTAAGTATTGGCTTAACCTAAATTCATTCAGATTGTGTTTGTAAAGTAGCAAGCATGCTGCTTTAAATAGTTTGAATTGCTTACAGAAAGCTCATCTCTTTTAGCCTCCTGTCAAAATGGGAACAAAAATCATCTGGGGTGGGTGTAGTTTCTACTTCTAGATACAGTTACGTCAGCAGAGGCTATTCTCTGCCTGGTGTGCTGCATCCACGTAGCATGACTTAGGAAGATGTGTCATATGTGTGCAACCCTTGTCTAAGCACTCATGCTCAGAATGTATGTCTCGCTCATTCTTCCTGCTGGCAGCACTCTGCAGTTCAGTGAGATGATGGTATACACCACTGGTGGTCATACAAAATGGGTGCGCTGTATGGGATGCATCTTTTGACTCAGAAAACCTTACTTTTGCAAAATGTTTTATGGAAAATATCATACAGATGAGCTTTGTATAGTAAGGGATTGGACTGGGGCTGATTGGGGTCAATGGAATGGTACTGTCTGTAAGTATGCCATGTTAGTTGTTAGTGGTTTCCATTTGTGTAAGATTAAAGACCTGAAAACAGCTTTGGATGAAACAATTGAGCCTAGGGATGCAATTGTTTGTCACTTGAAAACTTAGTACTTATTCCTAGAGGTGCCTTTAACTTCACATTTGAGAGAAGAAAACAGCTATCATTTTCCAAAAGGCATGAAGGAATCTAAGCTCAGAGGTCAGTAGTCCTATTTAAGGGAAAGAGATGAGATGTTAAAATTGTCCAGCTAAGTAAATCAGGTTAAATCCACATTTTGTAATTCTATGCATAAGTTTAATTTATAACTGAAAAGAAATATGCAGCAATGGACCTGTAGGAAAATGTGATTTGAATGTACAATATTCACTCAAGTGCAAGGGACCAAATTTGCTTTTGAAATGTTGAAGCCTTTGTCTTTAAGGGCAACCTGATGACTTGGAGGACTAATGTCTGAATGGGAATAGATGCAATAAAGTACTTGTAGGTTTTCTAAGTTTCAGTAGAGTAGAAATATGACTACTGCTATGCCTGCAGGGTTTTGAATAATGAAATACAAGCCAACCTCAATCTGCTAGAGGTTGGTGAGCTATTTTATTTATTGCTTGGAAGCTAGAGAATTACTAAAATGGAGAAGACCTTTGGAAAGGAACAGGGATGCAAAAGATTGGAACTGTTCTTCCAGGCTGCTACTCTCCTATGTTAATTAAAACAACAAAAAAAAAAACCTTGAGGCAATATCAGTGATGGTCAGAGCACCAATCTCACTGGGAAAACAGTGGAGATTCTTGAAATCTTTGCATCTGTCTCTGGATAACAGATGTCTGGTAAACTTCAAATATTTTGAGTTGGATTCTAGGTTGCTTTGGCTCCTTTGAAGTTAAGCAATGCGCATCTATTTTGACTATGCCTCCCATGCTCTCAAATTAAATGGAAAGTAACGCACAGTAGTTAAGTTGAAGTCTGTGTGGGTGCGTATTTATGTTTGGCTTACTATCAATCTGTAGAAACCAGATGTGGAAATTATGGGTGAGGAAAGATGTCTTAAATCATCGTATATAATCTCCTGTTGATGCATAGTAACTTCTTGCAGTATCTTTTCCTGGTATTCTGTCCACTCTAGCATTTTAAATGCCTCCAGGGATGCGATTTCCATAGCAAATAAAGAACTATTTTGTGGGAAGCAAATGCAGTTTTACTTAAGCTCTGAAACATATCTGATTCATTTTAAATAATGGCATGTATTTTTGGATGTCTTGCCTACTGTCATGATAACAAATAACCTTTTATGAAAATAATATTAAGTTCCCTGGGCCTCTCGCTAACAAAAACATGGGAACTCCTTTTGTGTCTGTTTGAAAGCAACTTCTGCAGGAGGCGGGAGAGCAGACACTAAATATGGCATCTAGGGAGTAGGAGTCAATGTCCATTTATTCTTTTCTGTTCAGTGATAATGTCAGGTATGAATATGCTCTCATGAGAGCCATACCATAGTTTTTGCAATAAGAAATAATGGTCAAAGACTGAAAGTTCTTGGAGTCTTCTGAGGACATGGGTAATATTCAGGTAGACTTCTGTTTCCAGTCAAAAACAGACTATTTATTTCACTAGTAGCTGCTTCTTAATAATTTAAAGCTGTTCAAAGTACTCGAGGAAAATAGGTTGATCATCACTTTACGCAAAATATTTATTTTGAACATTTTCAGTCTTTTTAAGTTTTGTTTATTCTTCTTTGTGAAGTGTTATACAGATGGTGCTTTGTGTTGAAGTTATGTAAAAAGAAAAAAAAAAAGACCAAACCACCAAACTTAAGAAAACACAACAAACCAACCACCCAAATCTGCTGTCTTCAAACCTTAAAGCAAAAATATTATTCCTTAACCTGTATTGCATCAGGAAAATAAAGCCTGTGTTTCTGTTACTTGCACTGAGGATGTGTGTAGCTAATAAGTGGCTAATAAACTCCACAAAGGCTCTTTAAAAATAAAAGTAATCTTATTCTGTCAAATTAGCGGAGGGGTGGGGTTGGGGCTCGCTACCAGGCGTGTGTGATTCAGGCAGTGGGTTTTCTTGAACAAAATTCTCTACAAGTGGAACTAGCTGTAACTTGACACAGAAAAGCCAGTGTTTGTTTCTGACCTGGGAAAAGCAGTTCATTACTTTTGCTAGTGTGGTGCTGCTTCTCTGGGTGTGATATGCTGGATCTTGTGAGCCATGGAATTCATTCCTGAGCTTGAATTCACATAGCTTGAATATACTTGTTAACATTCTTCTAAACTTCTTTAGTAGTGATGTGTGACATCTAGGGCATGTCTCTTGCTGTGTCTGTTGCTTGAGCAGGAACTATGGTTTAAGCAATGGTACTTAAGGGAGGTATGGACTGTTCTTAAAAGCCACAAATGCATACTCTTTAGCTGAGGAGCTCACTTAAGTTTAAAGAGAGTTTATTTATATTGTTAGAAAAACTGTTCCACTGGGCTTTGTTACTATCTAACAATCCTTGCTGAGGGGTAAGTTTGGATTTTGTCATTTTGGGCATGTTGTATGGCTTTCTTTCATCCTTCTAAACCAAAATAAATGAACTACATGTTGCATGTAAGTACTGTAGGAAAGGTCTCTAATTGTTTTCCATTTCAAGAGTAACTTTGTTAACACATTAATGAAAGAGCTTATCTGTAATTATATGCAGTTCTTATGACTTGGGTGTTTAAGTTCTCTGTAAGCAAGTTATTTTATAAGCAAGTTATTAGGAATAACACAAGATTCCCCAGTCCCCTTCCAGATGGCTTTTAAATGAAGTGCTTAAAAACAATGGAGTTTCTTTTATTTGGGTATATGCATAGTAACTAACATGACAATCTAATTGACTTGACTTCTTGTTACATCTAAGCACTGTACCAGGTGAAATCCAAATTACTCATGTACCAAAGCACCAAAACTTATGTAGCAGCACTGTCTCTTTAGTCCTTTGTGCTGTGACCCACTGGGAGCTTTTCTGCAGCTGTAGAATAGTAGGCTTAAGTGTGATTTTTAGTTCTTCACTGTACTGTGATGAATTGTTGTGGAAGTGAGAAAGGAGTCTAGGTTCCTGAAATGAGGCAAGCTATATTGCATCATTCCTTTCAGAGGGAGGGAAAACATTGTATAAACCATTCTAAAACATGGCCATAAGAATGATAAGTGAAGTTTGTAGCTCATCTTGACAATTAATTTCATAAGGCTTTCATAAATTTCATAAGAATACCTTTTAGCATCTTATGGAGCTACCAAACTGACTTGCCTAACGAACTCCTCATGTCAAAATTGAGGCCTCCATCCAAGTGCGTGTAGGTAATGCAGCTCAGCTCAAAATGGGGGAAGGGTGCTGTGGAAGTGACTGCAAGGCTCTGTCCAGTAGAACTAACTTTCCTTTTGAGCAGTTTTCGTGAACCCTTCTTTATGTTTGCAATAAATATAGCAGACTATGTAAGATGTAGGGGTTTCCTGTCAGAGTAATACTAGTGGAAGCATGCAGTTATTACGAAAGCATGGTAGAGGGGACCTTGTTAAGGGGTGGACTGAGATGTTGAGATTGGATCCTCACTGCTTAACAGTGTGTCAAGTCCAGCAAATTGCACTAGGAAGCACATCTGGATTTTGAGATTTTCAGCATTTCTTCTTTACTCTCAAAGTGACTGCTTTCACAGAGTAAAACCTTGCTAGTATGTCTTTATAAATTTCTGTAACTTTCTGATAGTTATATGAAAGCACATCCTTTTTCAAGAACAAAAGGTGGTGAAGCTGTAGTTCTTGTCAGCTTTCCTTTCCAATGCTCTTTAAGCTTGAGCTATAGGTGAGATTGAGTAATTTTCTTCCCCTGCAATTCATATTGCGAACTTGTTTGGAAAAAGTCAAGTTCTGTAGAGTAAAGCTGTTTTTCCATTTTCTGAAATACAGCTCCTCTCTTATCATTAGCATTAGTTCAGTTGATCAGTGTTGTTGCTTAGAAGATGTCAACTGTAAAACACTTTGTTCTTTTCACGCCCACTGTTGTGTAATGCTTAGTTTAGGTTCTCCAAACCTTCCAATTCTTATGTTGATATTTCAGTGGTATTCTTAAGCAAATGCCATTGTGCAAGTTGATTTGCTCACAGCTGAAAAGCAGCTTCCACCTGAAGCCTTTTGCTGCATGTTCAGTTTCATTCTGCTAGTGGATGAACAGTCATGGAGGTTTTGGATGCTATATAAAATGCTTGCTAGTGTTTCACTGAGTTCATAAAAACTCTTTAGGATGCTTTTTGTGCATCTTAGTTGCTGTATTTCTAATAGCAATGGTCTTAGTGGAACAGCAATTTCTTTTTCAGAGAGTCTTTCTCAAGCAGGCATTGGTGATGATACATCATCTTCTCTGAAGATGTGCTTCCTTGTGGTCACTTCATATGTTGGTGTTGGCCAGTCATCCAGTCTGCACTGAAATGAGTTGTTTTTTTTTTTAGTTATAGAAAGCAATTCAGTATTTGATTTTCTCCTTCCTCGCTCCCTTCCCTTTGCCACCCCTGTGGTTTGAGTTTTGTATGATACAACTCAAAGGAAAGGAAGCTGAATTCCTTTTCCTTGTTTTCCTTTTGAAAATACAACAGTGATTTCAATGTCTGCATGAAACAGATGCTGTATTTTGTTAATAACATTTTGTCTCAAAGCAAGTGAATCATTTTTGGACAGCCAGCTCTCAGAAGAGGAGTCCTGAAGAGCTGTCCATATGAGGCAATAATGGGTTTGTGGCATTGATAAAGAGTAAAAAGTAAATAGTGTCTCACTCCTGCAAAGCTTCCCTGTCTGATAGGGATTTTGCCTTGTTACGGAATGGTTTAGGACAGCTCTTTACCACTTGATATGTTTGATCTAACATGAAGTCTTAAATACCACCTCTTTATATATTGATACAAAAGCAATGGGAATTGCTTTATTCACCTTGAAAGAATAACTTGCAGTTATTCTCAGACAGTGGAGAT